GGGTGTGTGGTGTGTACTTCTGGGTCACTGCTTAACTTTAATTTCCCTATTTTGGCATCAATCAATTATCTAGCTGCTATCTTTATATGATCCAGCTCTGGTAGATGCGACCTCTCAAAATGTTTAATTGAGAAATATCGAAAGATCAAATGTTGTTAACCCAATATAAAATGTTTTTATGTAATGCAATTTATTTGAGTGCTAGATAAGAGACAGTCTGTCACCCTTTTGCACTGTCTTCAGTTTCATCATAAGTTAATATAAGTTAATATATGTGCGAAACAAACACTACTTGATTCAGTAATGTGAAGACCATAAGTCGACACTACTCTGTAGTCTGCCATCTAGTGACAGCAACAGGTATTGGCTGTTATCAACTGCTGTTGTGTCATAACTTGAAGCTGAAACGTATTAAATAGCGTTTTAATTAAATAATGTAATACAAACATACTTTATATTTAATTCTGAATGTTTTATTTAGACTTGATCTGTTTCAAAAAACAAACAGTACATTTAATACTTTGTTAATCCCTAGATGGGAAAATTATGAACGATTACTCATCCAGAAGAACACATACTTCACATTTTAAGTATTAGTCAATTAGATGATAATAAGGACATTATAAAGAACATTATATAAAACAATATTTCAAGGAATTTACTACTTTAGAAGGAAGCCCCCACTTTAGCCCGCAAGTCGAATCGCTGTCGGATCAAACAACTTTCTGTTCAGTTCTGGTTTCTCACTTTTTCCCACTGGGTTTTTTAAGAGTTTTTCCTTGTCGATGCAGGAGGGTCTTGTTGGACAGTTAGTGTCCAACAGAAAGGATTGGTGATGATCAGGACACTTTAGCATTCTACAACATGTATGGACATTTTCTTCTGTGTGTGCTTTATATTCTTCATGTGTTTAACTGTTGATTCTCTGACCTGTGTTGGTGATTTCAATGGTTTTGTTAAGTCCTCTGAGATGACTTCTGTTGTGACCTAGGGCTATACAAGAATAAATTGTATTGTATTGTATTCTGCAGCTCAGAGAGGAAGCGTCACTCGTTCACTTCTTTGACCAGTCAGTCTCATGCTGTAGATGTTAAATTGTAGGTGAAACCTGGATAATAATTAAAATCACATTCTGCAAAACCACAAACACAGAATACAAATTTCCAGGATTCATATTTGAAGTATAGATTGCCTTTATTTACAGTACATATGTTTGAAAAACATACACTGGTCAACACACTGGTTTGTGTTAAAAGTGAATGTGTCAGTGTACATTTCACACCTCTAACCCACAACCTGTCATAGTATTTACTTACTTTGCGTCCCTATTACATGTGTGTCCTTCTGCCCTCGCTCTGTGTGTTTATTGTCTTCACAATCCCTCTGGTATTCAAGCTGGCAAAGCTCACTGTAAAGTGTTGCGAAGATTAGAAGGGACGTTTTTCCAATGGCGCTGTGCTGCCTCTAATATTCTGTTTGTCATCAGGCGTGAGGCTGATTTATCACGCCTTTCCTCCCGCTGACATTCAGATTCACATTGATTGGCATGGCAGGAATGACACCCACCACCACCAGCCCTGACGCGTTGCACGCACATACTAAACAGTGACAGTGAAGCACACTGTTCTACTCAGGCAGGTATAGAGTGGATAGAAGCACGCCTATTACGCCAACTCATAAGCACTGGCTTTTTGACTTTCCAACTTGCGCTTGCATATCCAAACCGTTATTACTTCTAAAGTGGTGCTACACAGTAAACCAACCATCTTAAGTGGTTAAGGATCTGCTGACCTCTGGCTTTGGCATGATTCTTTGGGAGTGTTGTGCTGAATTTCCTGAGCGACGTGGGCAGACTGCCTCTCTTATGCTGTTCTCCTACTTCGTGAACTCTATAATATGATAGCCTTTCTAACTGTATGTGGCCTTAGGCTCCAACTAAGGCTTCTTTCTGTTGAATAACACCTCTACGTCTTCTTCACACCCTCTGTCCTTCCCTCCTCCCTCTGATCCCTCCTTAATAACTCTATAACTCACCTCAGCCTTAGATTTAATTGCTTATCTGTGTGTAAACGTATTAACCCTGTACTGTATCTGTTTTTCTGCCGTCCCGGGGGCCTGACAAGCCTCTCTGACTGCCTTGCCTTACATCCAATGAATAGTCCTTTGCTGAGCGGTAATAGGGAATCAGCATCGTAGCAGCAAGCATTGGCAGCGTGTAAGAGATAAATCAGATTGGGGGTCTTGCTTTGCCAGTTTATTGAATCTAAATTGCGTGCGCGCCTGGCCCCCGCCGGCCCTACACAGCCCATCCATCTCCCGACTGATAATGGAGCGGGCCCGATTCCACCTGGTGGGACCTTTATTGCATTTCCCCTCTAACGAGACCCAGCTAATCCTGCCAAGGGAGGACAGGAGACAAGTGTACCAAAGAGCGACTGGAGAAGAGTGATCCATGGTAGAGAATGGGACCGTGAGTGACATCCTGCTATGAGCCTCTCCTGTCTCTGTAACTTCTCTTTCACTAGCATTAAACATGTTCCGCCTGGTGGACCCAGTGCTGCCTGGCCCCGGGGCCTCTGAACTGCAATTACACTCCTAATCACAATGCCATTTGGCTGACACTCCCCGCCCCTCACTGCCATCCGCGCTCCCTGCCTCCCCCCCGCAGTCAAGAGTCAGTGGCCCAGCCTATATAAAGTAAGAGGCCTCTCTTGCCAACACCCAGACTTTGGTCCCTGCTTTATAAAAGTTTGTCGCAAAAAAAATCTTGGTATTGCATAGTTCGCATTAATAATTTCAATGTATTCAAAGACAGTGCAAGGCTTAGCACCACACCAATACCTTACTTCTATATTTTTTTCATTTTCTTTTTTTCTAATTGATGTAATTAAAGTGCATCCCTCGCTCAGTGCTGAGGCCTTCCCTTTCATTGTTGTGAGGGGGCAGCCGGAGCGCTGTGAGGCAGTGCACTGATGAGAGATGGATAAACAGTTTGATTTGCTGCTATCGCCCCAAGGCACTGTGTAGAGGAGAGAGACGCTAGAGGAGAAAGAGGTAAACCATCTGATCAGGGAGAGGGCAAAACAGAGCAAAAGACAAGAGGCGTATCAGATGGGGGAGGGATGGGGAGAGATTGAGCTGGAATACAAACATGCAAACAAAAATGGCGACGTCTCACTTCTGCGCGCTTTTATTCTTTGGCTTTTATTTTGTCTGCCTGTTTTTTTTGACTCCGTTGCCGCTAACTATTCTTGAGAGCTCTTTTTCTTCCGAACCGCACAAACACACAGCTCATCTTACTTCTTCCACCCCACTATGTGCCCCGAGCTACGACAGAGACACTGATTTTATTTGTGCACTTGAAACACACGAATGCAAACTGTGGTGTGTGAAAAGCAGTGTGTAGTCGGTGTGTTTTATATAGTGCAGGTTTGATGATTCCCTCACACACACACACACACACACACACTTGAGACGAGCTGAGGGAGGTAGACCAGGGCGCACTCATCCATGTGAAGTCATTGTTGGTAAAGATGCGGAACCTCCAGACTTAACCAGGCGGAACAGCAGTGTGACGGGCACTTTGTCTACGCCAATTACCAGAACAATAATGGCCGCGCTGTCATAGGGAGACACATCGCAACCTGTGGACCTCGACATGCAGACCCCAGATATGTTGTAATGTAGAATCTCACGAGGTCAGGAAATGTCAATAACACGTCGTGAAAACATGGTCGTAAAGGGATATTAACCAAATGGAAAGTTATTGCAGAAAATAAATTGTTTTGATTTACCATTATAGTGTATTAATCTTTCAGCCACATTGTTGAGCAACATGTTGAACAGCGTGTAGGACTTTTTAAAGATTTTCATACTTTTTTATAGCTTCTATCCTGGACCTGTGTTTATCTGTGTTTATGTGTTTTTTGAAATTTGGCAACAGAATGAAAAGATGACCATATATTACTAAATAGATTTTTATCAAAAGATTGAAACTGCATTTTTTATAAACTGGGAGAGTGTTGTATGTCATCCAATTTCCAATGATAAAAGTAATGTAAAACAAAAAAATGTTGTGATGTTTTTTTGACGGATCCATCGTCTCGCAGCCCAATCAAAGATAGAAACATTTTAGGAAGATTGAGAAATATGCTAGTGCTCTTGTTTCGGAGTAAATCTTTGTGTAGTGCAGACGGCTGCGCACATCACTAGCAGCTCCGCAAACTAAATCCAGACACCCACATTTGTGCCCTAACAAACACGTGCACGCAAAGCACTTACACCCACTCGTGTATATTGTATTAACTTTCCCCAAAACAAAACAACATTCTCTTCCTCCCCCTCTCCCTCTCTCTCTTCCTCGTCTTCTGTTTCCCATCTCTCCCCTCCTTTTTTCTCAAAGTTTAAACTCATTAAGTGTAATGATATTGGAGACTCAATTTTACATAGCTCACTCATCAACCAGTAAGATAGCAATAAAGGCGAATGGCTCCACAGAGGCCCCTAACGCTACAAAATAAATGATGCGCTGCAACGGAAATGTAATTAATTTAGAGCCAGTATTGATAGTCCTGCCATACACAGCATTATATTTTTTAATGCAGCTTAACATCTTGATTATTCGAAGGGGGGAAGGCGGAGGAATAAGGCAGCCGAGACACAAGTGGTGATGAGAGATGCCTGAAATGCTCTGACTACTGTTTACGCCCTCCGCCTCATTTTCTCTTAAGCTTTTCATTACAACCAAACAATAAACAGCTCTAAGGATGGCTGTCTTGTGACTTTACGGCCGCGCTATGGGGAAAGTTCAAAATGGAAGATGTGCCGTTTACAATTGTTCTGCTTAAAATCCCCATCATCGTAATATCCCCCATGGAAGAGGCTTTTAATTTTTGATGTTTTTCTAGCACGATTACAAGGCGCATAATGTGTGTCAAGAGCAAAGCAAGTAAAGCAAGTAGTCCATTACCTTATTAATTCGGTTTTGCTTTGTATTTTAGCCAAGACGGACGAGGTGCTGAAGGCTAAAGTGGCAAAAAGAGAAGAGGATGCGCACAAGAAACTGCTAGAAGGTGAGTAAACAAGAACTGCAAAAACTGGAGCCACATCAAGTTTAAGAATAATAATAATAAAGTTGGGTCTATATTTGCTGGACAATTTGAATCTAAATGTGGATAAATTCTCGTTTTAAATATCCCTACATGCTCCCTTCCTTCATGTATTCACTCGTATTGCATTTCAGAAACGGCACATTTCAGATGTCTACATTGCAAGACAGGTGTTGCACATGTTCTGTTTGTTGAATTTGATGTTTGAGAATTAAATGGAACAGCTTTTTATTTTTTATTTTTTCAAGCACACAACACTGAATGAAGTTACAAGACTTAAGACTGCTTCATAGCATGAGCCTGTAATTTTTTTCTTTCTTTCTACGCACTCACATAAATGTTCTTGATACAGCTTCATAAAAAGTCAAGTGCAATTTGCTGCTGCTGTGTTAGCAGTAATAAAAATCCTCAGATAGAGTAATGACCCGGGGCCCTGTTCTGACCAGAGCATGATATTAATGAGAAAATCAAATTACCGTTGTGTGACACCTCCTAACATCATTTGTGCTACTCTTGTGTTATTGGTGGACTTTAACTTCTCATTTAGAGTTTTTTAGGCAGTGTTGCAACCTTTAATGTCTGCTGACCTTTCAGCCAAATGGAAAATCCTGCCATCCTAAACTCAATTAGCCTCTTGCCTTGGTATAATCTTTTCTTCTCTCCTTTCCGCTGTAGCTATTTAGTTTTCAGGCTTTCTGCCATTTTCTTATTGATATTATTCATATTTGTTGCGTTGATCCCAAGAACATGTCCAATACCTCATTGTGTAATTTCAACTGTATACTCACTACTCTTTTTATATTTGGTAAAAGCGCCTCTAATTTGTTGCAGCTTCCCATATTTAACCCTTAATATTTCTCAATCTCCTCATCCTTTATGTCTCACCATTTGTATCACCACCTTTTGTCCTCATTCACTCTTCACACTCTGGCCTCCATGGTTTTCCTTCTTTACCTTTTCCAATCCTATCACTTTGTTGAGTGTGCAGGCCTTGCCAAATTGGTGACTAAGTAACACACTCGGGGGCTGGAGCGGTGTAGCAGGGCCTCTAGTCAAAGCTTCTTGAAACAAAACTCACTCTGCACCAGCGTTTTCTTTTTTGGAAACACTTGACTTTTCCCAACCTTTTTTCCGCCTCCAACTTTTTTATTCAACCGACTGTGTGGTGTAAGATACTGTGCCAGGTTGTGCCATTAAACTGCACGCGGAGAAGAGGGACATTCGTGTTATTCTTGCAATGGACTGGGACACATGTAGATGGTTAAAATTGGCCGACCCTTACGATTTAGTCAGAGATCTCATAGTATTGCCAGGCCAAATCGACGCGCACACACATGCACACTACAAATAGTGTCAGCCAGCTCCATTCTCTCCTGGCCTTATTTCACAGCTCCAAGTGAAAGTGCGGCAGTAAGCCACTGCTGCAGCTTAACAGTGGATCAGCGCAGGTCTCATTATTCCCTGCAGGGCCTGGTAGAGGTCAACACGACTAGAAAGTTTACACTTGAACCGCCTAGTCAACCGAAATGAGAAAAACCTTTAAAGGGAACGCAGAGGGGAGAAGTGAACAACACTACCTCCTACACTCGCCGTTCATAAATAGATCCACATCCTGGAATTTGCCAATGTATTTGAGTTAGTTTTGCCCTAATCGAAACCAAACCAGGGCTGTCTGATTCATGTGCACGCTGTGATATGCAAGCTGTTATTGCAGAAAAGTCTGTACTGTACCGAGGAGAGGGGGTTTATGAACAGGGCTTAGTGAGAGAGAAAGAACAGGATCAATAACTGGCCCTGTGGTCATCAGTTAACAAAGTAGTCTTCACTTAAAAGCAGAGTTTGCCTCTCTGGTTAAGGGCAGCCAGATGATGCTATCGGTTGAAAAAAGGAAGCGTGATATAAAAGGCTTAGAGAATGAGAGGGGAGGATGAAGTCTTTGTTACTTGTATGCCTTGTTTAGGCTATTAAAGCAACGAGATGTTGTTTGTTTGCCCAGGAGCCTTTTAGCTAACGCCGTGAGTCCAGCTATAATAAGAAGGGCTCTTATCAGTGAGGAGGATGAAGTCGATGTGTTTGTTTCAACTGTAGATGCTTAAAGTGGACCGTAACACTTTAATATTAGGCTCATTTCTGCCTTTGAGTGGTGACACAGGTGTAAGGACAATTAAGAAATGCTTTAATCAATCATAAAGTCCTGAAATAACTGTATACTATGCTAATTCTATCTCTGCTTGACTTTTTCAGATTCTACTTTTAGTTTAGGGCTGCAGGTAATGATTATTAGTAATTCTATTGATTTTTAAACATGATCCTAAAATATTATTTTACATAGATTCTTCTTAAATGTGAAGTTAGATTTTCTCCTTCAGAGCTGAGAATTCTGTGCTTTTGATATGCAACAGTTTCTAAAATGTTTAAGTAGTTGTATAAATTGACTGAATATCCCAGGCAACAAAATTGTAATGGGAGATTTTTTATAACATTTTGATTTACTTGGTTAATCATTTTCAGTCTTTGTTTATCCTTTTTGGTAGTGGGATACAGCCCTACAGTACATTATTGTAGGGCTGTATTGCCTTGTGTCTGAGGATACAATGTATATCACGATGTGATACATCCTGATACAATACTATAAGGCGTTTATGTACTAATAAATATTTTTTGTATGTGAAAGGCGCTATAGAAATAAAGATATTACTTTACTAATTAATTACAATTACTAATGATCAGCTCTCGTGAGACGCTACTGTTTTTCTAGGGTCTCACTCGAGAGCGGAGGTATAAGTGTTACATTGGAGGCACGTATGGCAATATATTGATATTTTGTTACACCCCTACTGTGAAGCATTAGTATAAGCTGCTGCTTTGTTCTAGTTCTTTGATCCTTCCAGCTTATATAGCAATGCAGCTAATGTATGTATTTCAATCAGCATGTTTTAAACACTTGTTTATTGTCAAAATAGACGGGTGAATGAGGATTGGCATGGAAGCTAACAGTTGCTGTTAAGCTGTTTAGCACCACCTCTCATTAAATCATGTTGCGACCAGTTAAAACAGTCGTCTGCTACATTACAGCATGAAAACCTGCAGCTTATATTCAAGTGCAGCCTATATGTAGAACAAATGTACTTTCTTTTAAAATGTTGCAAGAGGAGCTTATATACAGCTGCACCAGCAACATTTTAATAGTCCAGAAAATAGTGCGCAATATGAGGTCAAGTGTTTTATTATGCACATTTGAATACACAATGAATAATCTGTAAACAGTTTTATAACCTGTACATCCTACAAATTAAATTACTTGCCCAATACTCGAAATGACATTAGCCACTGCCGGTGAAATACCGGATAAATTGCCCACAGATTCGCTTGACACACATTGTAATGCTGCCAATATGAGCATGGACACCAGCCTATAGCCTCCAGTTGGTATTTTAGCCCTTTTGCCGCTTCGTCCTCATTACCTCAAACCAGCAGCAGATTGGGAGATCATATATTTTAATGAGACGTATAATAGTTCTTTAACCCATATCATTAGGGGGGAATATATACCTACCGTTTGCTCTTTGGGCACTTAAACGAAAGGACTGTTTCCCTAATTACGCAGTGTGTAGGACAGGTCATGGGTGAGGAGTGTGTTACCTATGCACGTGTGTCTGTTTTCGGGAATTATATGACCATTAAGTATTCAGGCCTGAGCCCCCACCTCCACCAGCGTACCCCCCCCCCCCCTCGCTCACTCCCCCCTCGCTCACTCCCCCGACCTAGCATCCATTAACGCCTCATCACCGAATAACTAGCTCGTGTTGTCAATCACCAAATGGCCTTGGCTCAAATAGGGGGCAAGAGAAATGTCTGGATTTAGTTTCTGCATGTAGTCGTTCGAAATACACCTCTAAACAGCCTCAGTCAAGGTCGATCAATAAAGGCAAAAAGCTATTGTGTTAGTGCTGTGAAGTCATATTTCTCCGGTTAGGTGTGATTAAGGCTCCTCTGGAAGATTTCTCAGTCAGCTAAAATTTCCGCTCCGCACACAAGTGTCTCGTTGTGGGTGTGCGTGGCCGTAATAAGCGATGTGATCTAGTTTCTAATTGAAAATAATAACTAATCTGCGCATAACAAGCTCTTGTGTAATCCAAAGCCTTACCCTTTTCAGTTTTCAGACGCCTATTTGGGTTGTAATAAAAGGACAGGAAATGAGAGGCAAGTGAGGAGTGGTGGCTTGGACATTGACGCTTAATGTAATCTGCCTGGAAATCAAATTATTTGACCTGGAAAGCCTAACAATACAAAAACTCCTGCCGGGGCCGCTGTTAAATATTTAGCACGTGCCTGTCATGAATACAAATGGTGCGCAAATTAGAATCTACAGGCGCGTGACCCCCACATCACACCAGCGGGGGGCGCACGGGGGGCTGGACCTGCTTTAAATGTTTTAATTACCAAGGCCACGGCGCTGGCTCGCTCACAAGGCAACGCCACTTGAAGGACAAGCGGTGAAATTCAACCAATAGTAAACACGTGTGATCTGTGTCGCCCATCCCGTTATATTAACTAAAACATGAGCTTTCAAAGGTGTTTAAATTATACCATTCTATAATTATCGTTCCCAGCATCTTCTCCCATACACTGTTATGATTTTTGTATTTGTCTCCCTGCCGGCTATGCGATCTACACCGGAGCCCAAGGGAGGCCACTGTATTGCTCCTGTGCACTCCGCGTTGGTGAAAGATCTGTCTCAGTGATTTTGATGTAAGAAAATCCGCTTAGCATCGATCACGTATTGATTAGTGGAGTCGCACTCATCTCCTGTCGTTATTTCAGATAAATGGCCTTATTTGTTGTGTTATTATGTTCAACACAATCATGCCAGGAACAGTTGGAGGAATATTGAGCCGACACTTCATTGGCTTCAGCTGTGGTTTCCATTTTTGTTCCAGGAATTTAAGGAACTGTGACCTGAA